AGCATATAGACATGGCTGAACAGGTTGCATAATTGGCACTGAATATCAACATCCACCTTTACCCAGCTGCCCAATGACTCTGGGCCAGTAACCTTTAATTGCTTACCCAGTCTACACAGTCTCTTTTCCAGGGTCCAGGATATTTCACCAAAGTATTGCCCCCCACAGCTGTAGCAGCCACTGCAGCCCCTTAAATATCCTAATATCTCTGCCATTACAATGTGAGAAATCAAACGTAAAGCTGAAGTGAACAGTACAGCAGCGAAATGTCAAAGACCCTGGTGAAGACACGAATAAACACAAGACAATTAGTTTCTCTGAAACCCAGACCATCTCCAGTGTCAAAGATCTTGTAATAATACATTTGGTGAGGAAGAACAGATGTTCTAAACACGTGGAATCTATGAAACAATAGATGCCACGTGTTTAATTTAAAATCCACTGTGGTGCTGTCATTATTAAATTTACTAAAAGAAACAATGCTAACCTTCACAGTCTTGAGAGTGTGTGAGGTCCTCTGTCCTCTTCCTTTGTGTAGGGCTCTGGTCAAAGAAGTCAAAAAGAAAACAAAAACACTTTTTAAACAGTGTTTATGAAGCATGCAGACAGCTCCAAATTCACAGCTTTTTGATATATAATTCCATCAATATATGATTATCATTGGAGATTTTGAATCAGGCTTATCAGGACATTCAAGTAGAATATGATATCCAACCTACCACCAATATACACAGTAAAAGTTACCACACTAAATGTCCAGTTGTGAAATATGATGACAGACTTTACTCATCAGCTTTCTTTCAATGAGTTCATCAGTTGAACTGGATAACCTAAACTTAAACAAAGGATTAGATTTCGCAGTTGAACACTTACATCATCACCGAAGCATTTTATGAGCCTAGTCAGCCCTCCTATGCTGCTCTTGATTTTGTACAGCTCCACGAACCTCTCCATAATGGTCAAGCACAGCAAAAAGGAACCCTTTCAGGTCAACAGATGTAAGACGGGCAAATTCTGCTTCAACCTGAGCAACAGAAGAAGAGGGGTGGGGAGTACATGCAGAATAAAAAAAAGATTCTTTGAGACCCAAATTTAAGCAAACCGTCATCTGAAGCCCATTAGAGAAAACACAAACACACAAAAGCAAACAAACAAAAAGATGCACTTTACCTGAAAGGAAAGGAAGTTCAGAGAACAATAAGCTCTGTCTTGAAATCTTTTAAAGTAGAATGATTGTGATGTAAAACTGGAGTAAACGTGTGATTAAAAGAACACTGAGTAAAAGGACAAGTAACAATTTCCTTATTCCTCAGATGTTTACCTTGATGAGCAATACTGCTTTAGTCCAACTGCCTCATTAAAGTTACACAACAGGCTTTTTACATTAAAGCCAGCAAGTCCATTATATACTCGCTTTTTATATCTGAAATACTGTGCACATTCTGTGTATATGTAGTGGACGGCAATTTACCCAAAAGAGTGCAAGTTTGCAAGTCCACCTCATTTAAATGACAAAGTCAGATGTGATCATCTAGACCTGTGAAAACAAATTAATGACAAACCTGCAGTTATGGATGTTATTACAACCACAAGACCCTAAACAGTCTGCTCCACTGCTTTTGTTAATGAATCATTTGTTGGTAGCACGTCTGAATGTTTAGTTTATGCCATCTGCATTCGATCATCAATAGTGCAATATTACTTCTTAAGAAGTACCCTGACATCACAATCTTTATATCATTTGTTCTACAGAGCTATTAAGTTACAATATAATCTGTGGTGTTTCCAATATGACAAAATGCACAAATTGTAACTTTCCATTCGACTCCACTGACAAAAATAAATCCCCAGCATCAAGTTTGGCTTCACAGACCTAAAATAAATAAAATAAAAATATATGTTATAATTATTTTGTTTTTGCCATTTATTCATGTTTGCTAATTTTCTGACATATAAACAATGTTAGTTTTGTTACAATACAGGGAATGCAGTTTAATTAAAAGGTAAATTATGCAAAAAAAAAAAAAACCCCAAACAAACTTCTGCTGTATATGATGCCAAAAATCAGTGTCTCTTATGCCAATTATTTTATCTCTACAGCTCTTTTAGTATGGAAACTCACACAATCTGGTCATACTGATCACAAGAGTTCAAAAATAAGTTAAAATAGCGAGCTGTTGTTAAGCATAAAGCATTTCAGGGTAACAAATAACTGCACAATATAATTAAAGCAAAAAATAAACACACTGGAGGACTATCTGATAAAAACTAATATAATGCTGGTTTGTGGACCATATTTTGTCTCAATCCTCAGTGCACTCTTGCAGCTTAGCATGCAGCACTTAATAACAACTTAAGTGATTACATAGGGGTAAACAGATGACAACAAGCATAGCAGTCCTGCCAAAAAGTTCTTTTTGAACCCAGCCAGTTATTGGAAATATTGCCAAAATGAACTTCCACCAAAATACAACAGCCTGTTGTTACAAGTACAGAGACAATATGAAATGAGCTTTATTAATTAGCTGAGTTAGCTTGCTAATATCGCAGCAGTGGTTGAGTGCACAACCTTAAAGCTAGCGGCACAATACTTGTGATTTGGTCAGTGCCACATTAAACCCATAAAAAAGGCCATATGTCAGTTTATTAGGTCAAGTTTGGTCATGACACACAAGCTGGACCTTGTCGGCTAAAGTTACATTAGCTAAAGCAAACATTTCGGTAAAAGAGAAAACCCACGTCATGCCATAAATTCAAAACATGTTCCAACTTTTGTAGCTCTCTTTTCTTATAGTTATAACCAATGTTACTCACCTTGAAAGCAGATTCCAAAGAAGACTATTAGAAAACGTCCAAGTAAAGTGAGCATGTCGTTAACCGCCAATTCCCCATGATGCACCTCGATAGCAGTCACGTGGGACAGTTTTGAATCCTGCTGTGCTCAACTTACCCACATTGTCAAGTTCACATAAGTTGCTGATTTAGCTGGACATGAGTTTTTAAGTTAGCTTTTTTTGGTGTAATTGGGACGTTTTTAACTTGTAATTCTATGTTATAACAACAACTTCAGTCATCTATCGTCAAACTGATATAGAATAATATGTTGAAATAACAAACATCTAGAATTACATTTTACAGTGTGGTCTTCATGATCACGTCTGTTTGTGCTGGTCTCGGCAAAATGTGCACTGGATAGCGAACATGTGACCCTTACTGTATGTTCGGAAATGAGTCTAGATTAAGTCTAGTCTAGATTCTGGATCATAGGGTCAAAGGGTCAAGAGAAGATTTGGAGGATGTCATACGGATTGCTGTATCGATAACAGCAAAATAACAGATACACGGATAACAGCCTCTGATGGAGGCAGTGTTATAGTGTGGGCAGCATCTCACTCACTGGAAAACAAGGATTGTCATCATTGCAGGCAACTTTGATACAGAGAGATATCGAGATGACATCTAGTAGGAGTCCCATATCTCCACAGTCTGGGGCCGAAAGCTATCCTCCAAAATGACAACACTTACCCACACAGAGTGGGATTTATCTACAGAATTTGGGAGTAGAGAGAGTGGCCTGCCTGCAATCCTGACTTCAACCCCATCGAACATTTCCAGTCAGCTTGGAATGCTGTTCATGCCAGAACGACCGAGACAACCACATCGGCTGACTTGCGTCTAATGTCGGTTAAAGAGTGGGATGTTATCCCACAGCAGTGTGTGATCAAATTGGTGACCAGCATGAGGAGCAGGTGCCAGGCTGTGTACGGTTCTTCCACATGTTACTGTTACTAAATCATCCAATCTGAAAAAAACATCAGAACAAGAGTCAACAGCAGAAAAAGCTGTTCACCACTGGCAGATCTGGGATGCTTTTCATGGTGCGACCACAACACAGCACCACATACAGGGAAATAAACAAGCTTTCACCAGCATAAGATTATAACAAGAAATAATTAACCAAAGATAAATTTGCTTACTTTGTTATAGTTTACATTATAATGTGACAAGAGTGAAGATGGTCGTAGAAGAACTTGTGAGGGAAAAAGCTTTTTAAACCTTTAAAAAGTCAACATTTTAAATTTGTTTTTTTCTTTATTAATCAGATTTAATTGGATATTCTGTATATGCAGAACGTTCAGGTGATCAAACTAATGTTAACATTAAGCATTGGTGAGTTGAGACACTTTGACCATCTATGTTTAGGAGGTAGAATTTATGCTAACCATTTAAAGATCAAGTAAGTCAGATGTATCAGCTATTTTCATGTATTTAAAATAACATATGTTAAATAATAATGATTTGATAATATTTTAAAACAAAGTAAAATGTGCTGACTTTCATCCTATAAGCCCCTCCTTACATTTCTTTTCCTCTTTTACACAATGACATTATTCTGTTTTCCTCTTGTCCTGCTGAGCATCGTATCCTGACACATTTCATAGGTTTCCACTATATTTGAATCCTTGAACTGGGTTTTAATTCTTTGCTTTTGATGAGAAAAAAAACTATGTTTATGAGGGTAATTCATCACTTTTATGAACGTGTTCTTCCGCTGAGGCTGAGTGTTTCTGAAAAGAATTATGCCTCAGAAATTAAGAATGTAAGGATGCCTGCGGAGGCAGGTCCACAGGGAGTCGTTTGTGGTCCTACTGTAACTGTGCAGTGCTGCGGTGGTGCAATAAAGCCCTGGGATTTTTTTTAAAGGTTTCAAAGTGGCTTTCCTGCATTCGCTTCTGTCAGCCATAAATTAAGAATAAACACAGCTATATATGGGGTGCCCATAAATGCCTTCATAATTCATACCTTTTGGGAGAAGCTCAGGTAGATTAAGTCATTTCAGTGACACATAGTGTTACTGTGTGAATAATATACCCCCAGCCCTCTACGCTGCTTGTGTTCCTGGTCTCCCCTTCCATAGCTAATAGCTTGATCTCGACATTATTGGACAATAAAGGGACACATAACATATTGCAGATGATTAGACTCCTGGGTATATAAAGCGTAGCAGTGTAACAGACCCTGATATAGCATTACAAGCGCTCAGTCATCAATGAGCTTTTGATTTTTTTAACCAAATGTGGAAATCATAGTTTGTTCCACCATCATCTATCATTTTTCTCCTTGTTTATTTTATCTCTGTACCTGGTAGTTGAAATAGAATCAGGAGTTCTGTGATAAAACCCACAGCAAAGCCATTCCACTTCTGCCTTTCTGACATGATTTTGATCCTCGGTATACTCCTAAGGATGGCGGGCGACTGGCATATGGAAAAGCCTTAAAAATACAACAATACAAACATAAGGTCTATGCAGCTCTGCAGATCTGATGCTCATAAGCCAACAGAAGAGAAAGTCGTAAAAGATATAATACACCTCAGAAAAGAGAATCCAAGAGAGCTGAGTGCCAGATTTCTGATCAAAGCACCTTTTGAAGTTTGCACAGGAGGTTCATGGTGTGTGTGTGTGTGTGTGTGTGTGTGTGTGTGTGTGTGTGTGTGTGTGTGTG